AGTTACATGTGCGTCGAGGGGAATAAGTTTAAAGCCTAAATAACTAAGTTACCTTATACGGAAACCTAACTTGGCGACTGGAGATCCCACGTACCAAGTTCAATAGGACAACCAGTTTTGTGTAACTTAAATGAATGGAGCACTTAGGAGTTTTAACTCCATCTTATTCCTATGATGCAATAAGTGCAACCTACGACGTTCAAAAAAGGTAAGCTATTGCTTTTAATGACGTCTATATCTTGTAAATTACAAGTGGGGTATAGTAGGATACTCTTTATAGATGCGGTCACCTATGTTAGTGTGAGCTGGGTCGGCTCGTTGAGAATTCTTAAAGGCTGGAATTCTCTAAAGCACTCGCAGAACCCGAGGATGTTCAGGGCCAAAACGAACACAACCGAGAACTTGAACAAGTTCGTTTAGTATGGTGTTAAGTTTATTGTCTTGGTTTACACAAACAGCCGACGGTTCAAGATGAAATAATTCACCGATTGGCTAAGTAAATCCGATAAGCTTTAACTAGGGAATGTTCAAGATGAAACATTTCACCTATCCCGATGTTGTACTATTCACTAAGGAATTTTGACAAATAGATCTTATGCGATAAGATTGGAAGAACAATTTTATTCATGTGGGGGATTGTTGGAATTTTCATGATTTCCAATAATTAATATTGAGCAATATTAATTAAATTATGAAAAGATTAATTTCATTTATTTACTTGATCATAATCATGAAGTAAAGTGAATGAAAATTTTCTTGATTAAATGGTTAAAGTTCAAAAGATGTGCGCTCGATGTGATCGAGTGATAGGACTAGTTTGGGTTTAGGTGTCCACAAATATTACTTTTGGGGACATTTAGTAATTAGTCAAATTAGTTGACCCAAAATTTAAATAATAAAATATTTGGCCCAAACCAAATATTTAATTAATTGGCCAATGACCAATTAATTTTCCTACGTTTTTTGAACTCGGTAAAAAGAACAGACACATATCTCTGCTTCTTCTTCCAACCATTGCATCCCTCTGTGAATGGATCTCTACAACCTATAAATAAAGGCAGAACCTGGCCAATTCTGTACGGAATTTAATCGGCAATTACGAGATAGTTCTTCACATTCTTCTTTCTCTTCGTCAAAGTTTCGTTCGTTGTTCAAGTTCGCCGTGGGTCGAATACTCGTGCAAATATTCGACAACCGATCGTTGTACCTTGGGAGACTACCGGGAAGAGACTGTGCACCGTTGACAACCCGGAAATATTGTCTTAAGGGAATTGCTTTGGCAAGTCTCGATCGTTCTTTGTGGTTTTCACAATTCCTCTTTTCGACAAACAAGTAAGTATTTTTCGTTTACGCAGATTGTTATATATATATACCAACAACACGTATACATATATATTTTACTCGTATTTATTAAAAAAATACCGATGCTTATACGAGTTTTTCGACAGCTTTTGCGTGGATGAAATGCAACGAGAACGAACTTTGACTGGTCATTTGATGTAGGTTCTGTAAAAAATCTTGATTCCATTGTTGTTAATTGATGCATCCCCATCTTCGTTCTGATAAGCTCCCATGTTAAACAACGGCATTGTGGGTTGGGATTTGGGATTGTAGAGAGAGAGAAAGAGGGGAATTAAGAAAGATGAAACTCGAAACAGACGACTTTTACAGGTGTTCTTTTTTCCGACAACGTAATTTGAAATGCTCGAAAATGCAAATATTTTGCGAATGAGGGAATTCATTTCATTCAAATTGAAGAAGAAAAGTAATGAAGATAAGAGAAAAATGGAGAGAAAATTAAAGGAATTAAGGACTTTTAAATAGAAAAGACAAAAATAGCCTTGGATTTCGCATGTGCAGCGCACATGGGTTCATAACCGGTCATTTTGACCTGGAAACGAGCAAAAAAGGGCAACGTGACACAATTAATTAAGTACAGGTGAACTCGTGCAAAAAAAATTGTTCAGGAGGTGATCCGCAAAAACTTAAAAAGTTCACGTGGTTTAAAGCTAATTACCCCTAAAATAATACTAATTTTTATATAAAATATTATCCAATTAATAACAATTCTATTAAATCAAAGCAAAAGCGTGTAAAGAGTTCATCCAAGTGTGTAAATTCCTCTAGCAGGAAAACATAAACCAAAAGGCAGATAATTTATCCATATTTATATTTTTGGCCAAAAAGACTTCATTAAGACTTTATTATTCCATTATCGAAAAACTATATAGGGCCTCGTTAAAACTTGTGGACCTACCCAAGGAAAAAAAATACCCCTATAATGGCAATAAAAAGTCAGAGCAATCCCTAACTCTTCTAGTACAGAAATACCCCAAAAGGGGTGAGAAAGAAATAAGCTAAAAAGACTGCCTATGAAGACTAAACTTGCTGAAAATCCAAAGTGACCCCCCACATGTGCTGTTTTTGGGAGAAATATACTTGCTTAAAATTCCAAAGCGACCCCATGCATACTCAGCTCTCTTGTGAATACCTTGAGCATTCGATTCCACAATTAGTTTGTGAATACCCAAATGACTGCATAAATTAATGAAGCCCATCCAGAATAGCTTGAGCTTCTGCAGCAAACAATGATCCCTTTTCATAAAAATGCGAAAAACCTTGAATAAAAATCCCAGCTTGATCCCTTTATGAACCCCCGCAAAAAAAAAAAAAAATTCCTCGTCATGCATAGGGCTGTCTACATTAAGTTTGAAATATAAAGATTCTTATGCCGCCAACGCCGCCACCAGGGTCGTCTCCACGCGCCGCCACAAGCCGGTGATGCGAGAAGGCAATTCTGAAAAACTGATCTCGGATTTTCTGCGCAGTCCAACGAGAAAATTCGCCATAAATCAACCAGTAATTGGATGGACGTGAATTCGACAGCAGCGTCCGAACTCATTGATCTACAATAACTCAGAAGGAATTGGTGATCCAGTCAATAACCATGGAGATATTGAAGTCGGAGCAGGCCTGTAATTTTAGATCAGAAAACAGGTTGTATCAGTAGGAGTGGGAAATACAGATTGACGCTTCAAGGGTAAAATCTCGTTTTTCCTAATTAATATATATATAAAATAATTAATTTAAATTAATTGAGATTAATGTATATTAATTTAATTATTATTTAGTCACATGAATCTATATGTTTGATTGTGTGTTTATGTGAATCTTTCGTTGAGCATGTTTATTATGTGATTTAATTTCGCGAGCATGCTATGATGATTTAATTTATGTTATTTAAATTAATTATATATGCGAGCATGTTTGTCGGAGATTGGAAGCGAAAACGTACGCAATTAATTGTAATTGTGTTTGTTTATATAAATAAAATATTTTTATTTGTTTTCCCTCTCGCCATGTATAATCTTATTCCGCTGATGCGAGACTGTTGGGGATCATGCACGCTGCATAATTAAGGTGAATTTTGACTTGGTCTCCATGGTTGGTCTGAATTGGAAGAGGGAATACATTCGGTGGTCGGTACAAAAATATCAGGAAAGACCGAGACCGGTTGATGGAGAATCTCACGCGGCCCTATATGCATTAACCACGGCGCAAGGAAAGGGATGGCCGACGATCACGCTCGAAGGGTGACACTTTGTTGTGTGTGTGTGTGTGTGTGTGTGTGGGGGGGGGGGGGGGGGGGGT